ACTGGTTGTTCCTTAAAAGATGCAGTTCAGGCACTTTGGAAAAGCCATCGCTGGCTATCCATTCAGAGATGGTGAACAATGATACCTGAAAAAGTAAAGAGAAAAGCGGGGTGGGAGAGCGGAAAAGAATTTGCAACTGGGGGAGGGGAATGCAGAGCCAGTGACGGTTGCTTCATCATACTACTTGGACCTTTGTGAGGCAGCTGGCAGTTTCCAGTGGCCTGGGCAAGTGCAACAAAAGTGACATTCTTGCAGAGTGTCGCACTTGCTGCTTCCCTGTACCCATAATGGAATTGGTTGTCCAAGTTCAGGTCTAACAGCAATGGGTTCCTAGTGTGGCTTGTTGCACTCAATAAAGCCACCCTGTGGAAAGTGGGCTAAGTTCACATGTTGCCATAGTGGGTTCTCATGTCATAGGAGCACAGTTTTTATGTAAATTACTAATGGCCAGTTTGTGCAATCCAACAAGCTACAGTGGCTTGTAAGCCACAGAATGTGCCCAGTGTGATATGTATAATCACTGCCTTGGCCTGAACCTGGGCAACATGGCTTGATGGAGGACTAAACAGTCCTCAGCTAACCCTGCAATAGCTCACTGTGGTCTTCATGTGATAATGGCCTTGATCAGGTGAACTGGCCTGAGTACTTGCATGGGCTTGGAGTTACAATCTTATATTCATGCACAGTGCATTGTATTTTAAAAATTTGGAATCATATCCGCATGACAGAGCTGGCTGTATTTAAAAGTGGTCCCAATAAGCAAACCATATATAGTTGTTTTTTGTTAATTAGAATTTTGGGAGTAGGACTTGTAATTAGTTGGTTGAATACACTGTTGTATAAAGTGCCTCAGGGAAATTTTGTTTAGCATTTTTAATAATCTAGAAGAGGGAATAGGGTTTACTTGCATATTAACAACTTGTGGCTAAATTAAGAGACATTGTGAACACAGGTGAGGGCAAAGCAATAATGTGTAGGGCCTAGAGGGTAGAAAGTGTCATTCTGCTACAAAATATTTGAACAGCCCAGAGGCTAGTATTAGTAGACTGTAAGTGGAGTGGGAAGTATAATGTAATCCTTTAAAAAATAGTACTCTATATTGCTAGTACTACTGAAGCCAATTGTAATGGTAGTGCAATGGGGAATTGTGGGCAAATTATTCAGTCCAAAAGTTTACTGAACATTTGGAAGCTCTTCAGGAGGAAAAGAAATAGCTTAGTTTGCCTTCCAAATGTTTGGATGTGAGAGTCCAGAAGGATGGAAATGATAGAGGTCTCTAGGCTGCTGACAGTCACCAGTTCCTCCTTTTTGTTCCATACCAGTGAGCTTATACATGTACAGTACTGAATATTTGTTCAAGGCATGCACCTAAGAACCTTCCTACTGCCCATTTGCAGTAGGAAGAACATCCTTGAAGAAAGAACATCCTTGAAGAGGCTGTTCCACCAAATCTTTCTCCTTCGTTTCCCAGTGTTTCTTTACAGAATAATAGCTAGGAATGATCATTTTACATTGCTCTACATTCTCTTCAACATATGCCAATTTCTCCGCGATTCATTCAGTCCTACAACTTGTGACAACTTCTTTCATACATGAGACATTGTCCTATCCAAAATCACATGGCCATAGGCATCAGCAGAGAGTAACTGCTGGAAAGTGCAGAACTGGAAATTTTGTCTAATTCTTTGGAATTCACTTCTGAAGGAGGACTATGAGTATTAATTTCACTATAATTAGGAGGCACGGAAAGAAGTTTCCTGTTAAAACCACAAGGAACTTGCAGAACATCTTAGTTCATATATTTATCCTTTATTGCTAAGTTTGTATTGCAAGCAATTTTAACTATAATTAAAAGCAGCAGGATACAACTATTTTAATTAAAAATGCTGGCCGTAGTCTTCGTCATAAGAACTGCCATGCTGAATCAGAGCAAAAGTATACCTAGTCCAGTATTCTCTTCCCACAGTGGCCAACTAGCTGTCTTCAGGAAGCCCACAAGTAGGAAAGGAATGCAGTAGCACTCTCCCACTTATTTTCCCCAGCCTCTTGTGTGCAGCGGAATACTGCCTCTGATACTAGAACTAACTCAGACACTGTAACTAGTAGATAATGACTGGGTTCAGACAACAAGATAACATACATTCAAGGTTGAATGTGGGTTGACATTAAACCATGAATTGTTAAAAAGTGGGTTATGACGTCTGTGCCCAGCTGCATTAACATGCCATGAAGAGGACCTATGTTTGCTGTTGGATTATGAACTGTGGTTTGTTACCTTCGGACAGCGCAAGAACCCCCATTTCAACAACAACCTTCACTTAGGTTCAACCCTTGAGTATGAGTCATCACATTATTGGAACACTGTCAATGATAGCTTTATCGGCAATGAATCTGGCTTAATTTTTTTAAAGCCATCCATGTTGGTAAGCATCACTACATCATTTGGAAGTGAATTCCATCATTTAACTGTGCAACTGTGTAGTCATGTGGATAATTTTAAAAAAAATGTTTCAATCCAAATTAAGGTAATTTACAGTAGAATTGCTTGTGTGCTTGAGAGTGTTCAAATTTATGATAGTTATTTTACTTGTATTTAGTATTTCTGTTTAGTAATTGTAGGCTACCTGTGACTTGTTCAACACATGATTAACTTTTAGTGTCTAGTTTTGCTGCTTATGTAGCAGTCCCCATGAAAGACACTTAGCACAATAACCCACAATTTGCTATTACATGCCAACCAGGTTACTATATACTTCAGTGACTTCTTCCAGATAATTGTTAGAAATACTTGAAAAGTGTTACTTACATCTGAAAGTCTGAATTACAAGTTTGAAACAGCAAAGTTTGCCTATTTTTGTTTTTGTAATCGGCATGCACTCATTTTTACTAATGACCATACAGAGTAAAAATTATTTGCAGACATTCATGGGCTGAAAATGTTCCACATCATAGTATTGGCACTGTATGAAGAAGTAGTTCATTTATCAGTTCTGAATCTCCCAGCATGCTTTTTCCTGGAATTACCTTTGGTTCTCACATTATGAGAGAGAGAAAAAACTCTGTATCTGCTTTCTCCATATTATGTCTTCATATCATGTCTCTCTGAACTCACATTTTTTCTAAGCTTAACAGCCCAGATGTTGAAGCAAAGTGCTGTAGCCACAACTCATAGGGCAGTTGCTTCAGCCCTTTGATCATTTTGATTACTCTTTCTTGCCCTTTTTCCCACTCAGCAATACTTTTAAATGTGTGATGACAAAACTACACTGTATTCCAAGTCAGGACACACCATAGATTTGCATAAGGGCAGTATGATATTGACAGTGTTATTTTCAGTTCTTTTTCTAATTAGACCCTGCCTTTTTCATGGCAGATGAGAACTGGGTCAGCACAGTCATCGAGCCACCTCCAGCAACCCTGAGACCCCTCCATTGGTCAGTTACTGCCAGTCTGGAGGCTATCAGTGTGCACATGACTTTGTGTCCCCCTCCACCACATGGATCACTTTGCTCTTGCTCACATCGAACTTCATGTGTCATTTTAATTTCCACTCTCATGTTTGATCGATATGCATTGGCTGTTCTCTAGTGGGAGTTATACTAAACTTACAAATCATTTTTAGAAAGCCATTTTGTAATACTACGTTACCGTTTTCAGGAAGTGTCTTGCTTCATAAGAAGGGCATAATCTTTTACTTTCAAACGCTACAGTTGGCATTCTGTACTTGAGCAATACACACTGTTGGCCTCAGTCCTCATTCACACCTGGGACAATTGTGCTAATTTTTTATTAGCTACTCATGAAGCAAAGAGCAGAGTATTTTGTTCACAGCTTTTCCGCCTAGGGATTGGAGGTCCATTTTTCTCTCACTGCACCAGTGGATCTGTAAAGTGCTCCCGTAGCCTTTCTCTTCAAGTCCGCTTTAGCTAAAAGCTGACAAAGCAAAGGGAAATTGTGTTTGTGTTGGTGCCAGTTAATCATGCTAGCCCAGCAGCATTTATATTCACACCACTGTTAGAAACATGTAGTTAATTGGAGATCGTGTGTGTAGTGTGTGGATGGATGGATGGATGGACAGATAGATCAATATGGTGATCATGGTGTATATTTCTTTTACAATAAAAGATAAAACCACCAAGTGTATTTGCCTTCAATTAGACTGAAGAACTAGTTTATGTAAGGGGAGTACTCATTATCAATTTTGGTTGGGAAACGTCATGCATGCACTAATATAATGGTTAGCATTTGTATGGTGCTTTTGAACATGCAGACAGTTTCATGCTGCTGGGTTGTGATTGAGTGAACAAGTCTGTCAGGTAAGTCAGGATAATCTTCATATCGTAGATGTAGGGCTGAGTCTAAGGGAGTGGCTTGCTGAAAGCCACGTAATCTGAGTTTGTGGTTCAGGCAAAGTGTGAACTGGAGACTTAAGCGTCATAGCTCAGCATGCACAGGAAAGAGTCTAGTTCTGTTTTTTAGGATATTTATATCCTGCCTATTCCCAGTGACTGGAACCGCAAGACAGCTCATAACATTAAGATTCATGCAATTAAAACATTCAAAAATATATGAAAGTTTATAATTACATTAATTAATTATCAAAATTGAACACATACTTAGAATAAAAACTCAGAAAAATATAAGCAGTGAAACTAATCCAGTGCAAACTCAGAGACCAATCCCAAATACCTGCTTAAACAAAAAGGTTTTCACCTTTTTGCTTTCAGAAACGTAACAGAACAGATAGTTTTTCCCTTTGTAGTGGTAGTCTGTTGACACTTAGTTACCAACCTTGAGCTTCAGGTGAGCATTCTGAGAAGGACAGAGGGAAGCTGATACTAGAAGAGGGAGTTGAAAAGTCTGTGCAGATGATCTGAGGCTCAGAATCTCTGTTCTGGTGTCTGTAAAATGGTGCAACTGACAGTACAGATATGCTGTTTCTTCCTAAAATCATGTTTTATGAATCCTGGCTTATGCTGGTGTGTTATTTCTTTGTTTAGGGGCCTCCTACTGATGCTCCTGCAGTTGACACAGCTGAACAGGTTTACATCTCTTCTCTCGCACTTCTAAAGGTAAGCATGTCTGTTTTGCTAGAATTATATTACACAAATCACTGCACATAATGAAGGGAATAGCAGTTTCTTCTGTCCTTAATGCCAGAAAAAGGAAACTTCCGAAGCCTTGACATACTAAGTTGTTCTCATCTCATGTAAATTTGAATTTTGTAATTCTTTCACCAAATGGGGCTCTGCATCAAAGTTGTTGTGCCAGCAGGGCAGGGGTCCTCCTTAGTTCACGGTTTCACCAACTGATTTGATTCCTACTCCATTTTTGTCCCCAGCTCCAGCAGTCAATCAGCATTACCTACTGAGAGTGCCAAGTCCTTTCACCTATTCTACTGCATTTTGTGTTTTTTTCTATTTTGCAGTGGGTTCATAGGGAGATGGATAATCTGGTGCCCCATCACAGTGAATTAACATACTTGGGCCATTTCCTGTTCTTCTACAGTTTTCCCACTGGTTCTCTTGTGCCAGTGGGACCTGCTGCTAGCACTACTGGAAGAAGTGGAGTTGCTACTGAGTTTCATAAAGCAACCCAGAAATAAGTGGAAATGCTTGTTTCCAGAACAGGAGAGGTTGGCAGAGACCCTTCTGCTAGTTCAGCTGACCTGAGTATTTCAGTTCGCTTCTGTTTGTCCTCTGACTTCCTATTATGCTAGCAATGAATCATCCTAGCATGCAGTACACTGGACACTGCCATTTAATTTCTCTGTTGATTTCTATGGGCAACTGTTTATTCCATCCCTGAAAAATTTTAAAAATAGCCTCTTAGTACGGGCCAGAAAGTGATGTATCCAGGCAAGGTGATATTTCTTTCTAGCCTTTACATATTCTTGAGTCTCTTCCTCCCTCCTTCCTGCTCAGCTTTTCCATTCTGTTCTCCCTCCCACCTAGCTATCAGTATTTTCCACTCAAGTGCTTAATGTTCTGTGGCGCTAAGTTCATATGGGGGAGTTTTTTGGGGGAGGTCTTCCTCTGTTCCTCAGTTTCCTCTTCCTAAAATATTTTGAACATCTGATAGACTCAGGGTTATACCAAGTTTACTGATACTTCTTTCTTGAGCATGACTGGAGCAGTTTTGGCAACATGCACATGAAAAAGTAGTTTCAGAAGAAATCATAAATTACGTGATGCATTTTACATGTATTTTTGTCTCTTCAGAATGGCATTAATAGGCTTTTTAGATCTGAATAACTATCCTACCATCTGATTGTCTTTTGTATTCCAAAATTTAGAATTTTCCTCTGTTACCTTGGTGTATATCATGCTATGAGGCAACACTTCCAATCTAATGCCCCCCCCCCCAAATGTTTCAGACAACATTCCATTATTCCTAGTCATTTGGACATCTTGGTCAGTGGGAGTGGAAGTCAGTGCTATCTGGAGTATACCAAGTTCAGGAAAGCTTTTATAATGGTAGTTTTCAAAGCATGGGGAAGTTAGTGGCAGTTGACCTTAGTAATTACCACATATAAATAAGGTCTTAAAGTTCTAAATGTCTGAATATATAATAGAAAAAATCAACAGCAGCAAATGAAGCATCTGCCCCTCAAGTAGCATTTCAGTAGAATTCTGAACTTCTTTCCAGATGTTGAAGCATGGTCGAGCTGGTGTTCCAATGGAAGTTATGGGGCTTATGCTTGGAGAATTTGTTGATGACTATACTGTCAGAGTGATTGATGTGTTTGCTATGCCACAGTCAGGAACGGTGAGTACTCTTCAGTGAGTAAATGTGTGTTGTCACACTAGATAACTGTACATCAAGATTTACTCCCCCACATGCATAATGGTTGTGAAAAAGATACTGATGGCTGAAGCATATATATCCAGGTCTATAAGAATGTGATGTTCTATATAACATTTTCAGTTTAGGTGTTTAATCTTTAACTCTCCAGTGGTACACAGCTATGCAGTTTTGTAACTGGGTGTCTTCAGTTGGAGAAGGCGTCAAGGAATGTTGTAAACAAACAACGCAATGTTTAATATAAATTTTTCCATACTTTATCCATAATATCATGCCACTGACAGGTTAGAAAGGTCCACATCCAAATTCTAAGGCAAGCTGCTCTCATACACCACCCTTTAGCATAAGGCTCCCAGGACATTAATAGAACAAAATCTGCAGAAGAACTGCACAACTTTACTGTCAACAATGAAGAAATTGTGAAAAGATTTTCCTACCTTGGGTCATCCATTCAAAGGGAGCCTTCAGCTGAGAAACTCAAAGAAGACTGAGACTTCAAAGAGTAGCAATGAAGGAACTAGAAAAGCTTTGATTGTAAGGACATTTCACTAGAGACAAAAGCCAAGATCATCCACACTATTGTATTCTGGATCACTAGATATGGGTATGAAAGTTGGTCAGTGAAGAAAGCTGACGGGAACAAAATAAGTACATTCAAACCCTGGTGCTGGAAGAGAACTTTGTGAAAACAAACAAGTGGGTCCTAGATCCAGTCAAGGTAGAACATTTCCTGGAAGCAAAAATGAAAAAAACGGAAGCTGTCCTACTTTGAGCACCTCATGAGAAGGCAAGACTCACATAAGATGACAGTCATGTTGTTGTGCATGTATATGTCAATATTAGTGCTATAACAATAAGCTCCAAGTCCAGGATAGGCTTTCACTCCATGTTGGGTAGCCTTGAATTCAGGAAGGAAGTTCCTAGTATCCTGGGCTCATAGTGTGAGATAAGAATGAATGCTGGAATTCTTGCAGAGAAAAGGCCAGGCGTTTTTCCCTGAAAACAATTAGGTAAAACCCCTTTAAGGAAGTTGACTCATCGTCCTGAGACACCTACCCTATTGATAGCACCTAGCAAACATACACAAAGAACTCACCTTTTTACCCATAGAAACAATAATTAAGATCATCAAGGAGCCATCAAGCACCCATCCAACTAGAAACTCATCTGTTCCATAGCGGTAAGTAGAGAAAGAAATAATATAACAGGTTTTGAATATAGCAGGAAGAAGAGGGACAATCTCTGAGCACTTCAGGCAGAGCCCAGCTCTGATCACAGACCTGGCACTCCAGTCCTCCACACACATACAACTTCTGTCTAGCCTACCCTGCAGGAGAGGTAATAGACCCACTTTCTCTCTCTTTGTGTGCATTAGCTTCTCTCTCTGTAAGGAAGGAAGTTCTTTACCTCTTTAGAAATACAGAGTAACATTGAAATAGAGCAGGGATATTTGTCGTCTAGACAACATTGGGTTAAAAGCTTGTGCATGCTCCATATTTTCTATTGGATAAACATTCCAAGTGTTGGGTGTGTCTGTGAATGCAAAACCAGGGCTTGTTCTCTCTGGCCATGCATGTTAAAACCCAGCAAAAGATTTCAAACCTTTCGAGGCAGTCTAGTGGGCAAGCACTTCCTTTTGTGGTATATGCTCTCTAAGACGACCTGGTGTAACAATGTTAGGGAAGGTCAACGGCAGGAGGAGACAAGGAAGACCGAATATGAGATGTCTTGATTCCATAAAGGAAACCACAGCCTTCTGTTTACAGGAGCTGAGCAGGGCTGTCAAGGACAGGACATGTTGGAGGGCTTTCATTCCTAGGGCCACCATAAGTCAGAGAGAACTTGAAGACACATAACAAGTCCTGAACTGTAATGTCTTTTATTGGTAAGAGCTTTTACCAGCAAATGCTGTAGTGGTTTAAATACTGGTAACGTTCCCCAAAGCTAGCCCTAATTAATAATCTGGTAGCTGCATTTGTACTAACTGAAGTTTATGAGAAAGCAGTCTCTTGGAGGTAGTTTAACTTAGAGGTTAAAAGGCATAGAAAATGGTTCAAGAAACATTCACCTAGTATAAAGTCATGTGTGCTGTGTATGCCTCCAGTGACACAAACAGATCTGTAAGTACTCCCAAGCTGAAAGGGGAAAGCAACCCATGTAGAACAGGTTAAATACCACTTCCCCATTTGGATGGAGAACAGGATGGAGCAACTACAGTATACAGTGTCTTCAGTTTTGCGTGGTATATCTAGAGGATGTGGATACACCATCTATGGTAGATGGTTTCAAAAGCTGCTAAGAGGTCCAAGGCAATTTCTACGCCAAAACAGCTCTGGAATCAAGTTGACATGGATCCAGATGATCAGTTTCATCAATGACCCATTGGTTACACAACAGCAGTCCATTCAGGTACCTTGCCCAAAAAGATGATATCAGTGTCCAACTAATATGGACTCCTTACCTGAAGGAGCGCTTGTGTCCATATATGCCCGCCCGCCCCTTGAGATCAGCGGGAGAGGCCCTTCTCCGGGAACCCTCTGTGAAGGAAATTAGGAGGGTAAGTACTCGGAGGAGGGCCTTCTCTGCAGTGATGCCCAATCTATGGAATGCGCTCCCCAGAGAGGTCTGCCTGGCGCCGTCGTTATTTGTTTTTCAGCGCCAGGCGAAGACCTTTTTATTCAAACGTTATTTTAATTGTTAATATTTATTTATTTTATCTTTGGCCAGGGCAACTTAATTCATACTTTTAAATTATATTGTTTTATTTATTTATGATTGTGAGCCGCCCTGAGGCTTCGGCGAATGGGGTGGCATAGAAGTTCCCTAGATAGCTAGCTAGCTAGCTAGCTAGCTAGCTGTTAGGATTCTCACGATTAAGAATTTGAATTCTTAAAGGTGACCAGGAGTGAGTTAGTTAGTTAGGATATTTGTATGCCGTCCTTTGCAAAAGCCTCAGGACAGCTTACACAAATAAAATACAAATATCTAACATAACATAGATAAATGACTCACTCTGGCTGCAATTAAAATATGATAAAATTCAATATTAAAACTTATTAAAATATTGATTAAATAAAAAGGTCTTAACCTGGCGCCGAAAAACGTATAATGACGGCGCCAGGCAGACCTCTTTGGGGAGCTCATTCCATAGATGGGGCGCCACTGCAGAGAAGGCCCTTCTCCGGGTACTCTGTCTCCTAATATCTTTCACAGAGGGTTCCTGGAGGAGGGCTGCTGCTGCTGATCTCAGGGGGCGGGAGGACAAATAGGGAAGAAGGCGTTCCTTTAGGTTATTCCTCTTGCAGAGGAGTGCTTGAGAGTCGGTTAAGAACATGGGGCTTGGACTCAGGCAATCTGTTTTCTAGTTCCTGATCAGCCATGGAGCCAACTTTGTGCCAGTCACAGACTCTCAGACCAACCTACCTCTAGGGTCGTTATTGTGAGGATAAGATTGAGAAGAGGAGGAAGAAAATCATGAAAGCCATCTTGAGTTCCTTGGAAGGAAAAAAGTGGGATAGAAATATAATAACTAAATAAATAAATAGGTGTTATGTTCTGCACCCAACTGAATATTCCCTTTGTGCCAAATGTTACTAGTTGTGAAAAGGCAGAGCTGAACAAATGAATAGGCAGCTGCACCCAACCACGTACTTTGCTGTGACCCGAAGCATGGCCAGCAAAACATTACTAGATAGGGCACAACTATGGACTGTACTGCATAATTAAGTGTGCAATGAATGTGTGCAGCTTCATCCTATTACTAAAAGCAATCACAGGCTTCTGAAGATTCCTTTGCACCGTCGTGTGGCCCCAGGTGAAGAAAGCCTCAAATTACTTTTAAAAAATTCTGCAGAACAAGCTAACGAAACAGTGTTGTAGACTTCATTCTTTCTTCATAGCAAATGCCAACCCTTAGCTAGCATTGCTGCCAAGGCTCCAATGATAATGTCAAGTCATGAGCTCTGTCGGCCTGCCCTGCTATGGAGCATTGTAGAGCCTTAAGTAGTTTTCTTCATTTATGATGTAATAAGGTACATTTACTGGATGATGTTGCTTTTTGTGAATGCTCCCATGGCATATGAAAAGATGATTTATTTTGAGCAACAAATAACAGTGTGCTACAGAGTTGAATACTCATCAGGACAAGGAAGATTAGTGCTCAGAGTATTGAGAGTAGGCTTGCCAAGAAGGCCTTTGCAAACAGAGACCAGAATACAAGTACTTTGAATTTTTCTTATTTTTATGAAAATCATTTCATTAAACATTATAACTTTATATGATTAAAATGTCAGTATAATGTAGAAGCTAGAGTTGAATCTAGGTTCCAGACAAAGTTTTTCATGGTTTCATTTCAGTGGAGTGAATGAGATTTACCTCATGAGGTTGTTGGTGAGCTCCTTAAAGGAAGGAGTGGGATAATAATTAAATAAAAAACATGCATCCTATAAACATGCATAAATGTTGGCATCTGACATACCTTGTAATGTTTAAAACAAAACTAAGTTGTTGCTATCCTAAACAATGAGTGTGAAAAGACCAATCTCGTATAGATAACTGTATGTTGGATCATTTGTATTTATAATTGCTACTATTAATTTGTCTCCCAATCCAGGGGGTTAGTGTAGAAGCAGTTGATCCTGTGTTTCAAGCCAAAATGTTGGATATGCTCAAGCAGACTGGAAGGTGAGGCACCCGTCTATTAACCTTTTTTAAAAGTGCAGTAATATAGACAAGAGCTAGTTTCCTGTTGTTCATTTACTAGTATTGTTGCAAAAGTAATTGGTTTAATCTTGAGTGATTAGCTTATCTAGTTGCATAAACCTAATTATGTGCTTGATCTCTTGTGAGAAGATGCAGTAGATTTTATCTAACCAAGTGCGTCCAGATTAAATATTTTATAAAATTACTACATACCTTCAGCCAGTCTTCAGTTGACAGTTTCCACTTCTGTACAAATATAATACAAAAGGTACAGTTACCACCCTAACACTGATTTTACAGTCACGGTGGCTGTATACTACGGCAAATGTTACCTGATAAAAAGATATCCAAATATTTAAACAAATTGTGTTGCTTCATTGGGCTTTCTCAACAGTTGTCATCTGCTTGCTCAAATTTTTATACTGCAGCAAAAACTTCAAAATTAATGTTAACAAAAGACTCAACAGCTGAGCAGAACAGTGCAAATTGCTTTTTGACTGAGTTCCTACTTCTACTGCTGGTTTAATTGATATTTAATCTTTTCCTGTTGCTTGTTCCTGTCCTCCATGTCTGAAATGGACATTCTGCTGTGAAAAACCAACTTTGGAAGCCAGTGAGCTAGAGTGGGTATTTACTGAAGTGCTGAAAGGGTAAAAACTGGATTATAAAGTGTGGTAACAGGGTGAAAAACTGAAGGTCTGACCTACCAATGCTGATATGCATCCCTTAATGATAGCACTCCTTCGCCACATTTTCATGTTTTCACCATAATCTGGTGAGCCTTAATTTAAATGTTTCTAACAGAGCCTTTTCTCACTTTCCTGTTTTCTTACCCTACTGAAAATGTTATTATTTCATTGTTTTTCATACTTCCTCTTACAAGTAGTGTTGAATCTCTTAATGCCTTCTTCGTTACAGACCTGAGATGGTTGTTGGCTGGTATCACAGTCATCCAGGCTTTGGCTGTTGGTTGTCTGGTGTGGATATCAATACTCAGCAGAGTTTTGAAGCCCTGTCAGAAAGAGCTGTGGCTGTAGTAGTGGATCCCATTCAGAGTGTAAAAGGAAAGGTATGTGTTAGTTTCTATTAAGGGGCTTTAAACTAATCCAGTGAGAATAATCCTGGATTCTCATGTATGGAATACTTTAGAAATTGAATTTTAACTTCATACACTTTAATCCATGAGAAATGTTGGCGAGTGGATGCCTTTTGCTTAAATAGTTGCAGAGATAATTTTATATATATAGAATAAGGCTCGAATTGGTTGTGTAACTGCTGTCTCTTATTTGCAGTTCTTTTGCTCTTGAAGAACCCTTTGGTACTTAATGGCCAACTTTAAAAAATGTGCAGTGATAGAAGTCAAGTCCCATTTCAATTTGGGGCAGCTTGCTTCTGAGTAAATATTTTTTGTGTTAAGTTTTAAGGCTGTTAACCAAATCCTTTTGTTCTGTAGGCACAATTTAAGATGGTGAAATCATGCTAAAATGTAATCCTAGCAAGTTGAACTGGATTCAATGCTTCATTGGATTGAAATAACACTCTTACTTTACATGTGTACCAAATGTTTCAGAATAAAAACTTCCCCCAAAGACTTTGCAGCCATTCACATTTTAGAATTAGTTTGCAGATGAATGATGATGTGAAATCATTATGAAAAGAGATTAACTTGCAAAGCATATTGGGTTATAGTTTGTCCTTTGTTGAAATCTCTTTTGTTCTTGTTTGGTTCTTTTTTTTATTTCTTTCTAGCCCCATATGCCATTTTCCTATTTCCTGCCTCATGACAGCAGGGAGCAGCTCTATTATCACCTTCACAGAGCTGTCTGCAAATGTGAGAGGCAATTCGATTTTGCTCAGCCACAGGGAGAGTGGATTAGAAAAACTACAGAACATACAGAAATTGGCTAGGTGGTTACTGCTTTAAAATACTGCTGAGGTGTTTTGTTTGAGCATGCTCTTCTATTGTATTGTAGAATAGTCATTAAATAAATAATATCTTTGACATTTTTACAATTTTATAAATATTTTAAGTATTAAAGTTCTTGTGTTAATGGTTCTGTGACATTAAAGCAGGTAACCAGCTATAATTGTTGCTATTCTCATGATACAATGAAATTATAAATTGCATTAGGACTGTAATAGCATCCTAAACACATTTGTTGTTAATTTTCATTTGTAAATTGTATGATTCCACTTGTATTTCATTTAGCAAAAAGGTACATACACAATGAAGACACTTAAGCAAGTATCTGTTCAGTCCACAATAGTACATAGGTATATCTAGAACTGAAATAATATGTGCTTTCAGAGATAATGAGAAGGATTACAAGAAGTCCCTTTCAGATGCAAAGTTTTTCCATAGTTTGTTTACTTGTCTCCATTTAGGATTCCACGTGTGCATCTTACCATGAATTTTATTCTGTTGCAGAATATATAGACTTCATGTAGATACTTGCTGTTGTTTTAGCCACTTCCAATATCGCCTTCTGTAGTGCGTGTTAATAACACCTGGAAAGAACTACTTAGTCTTGTTCATCACAGGTTTAATTGGATCTTTATGGAATGAGTGGCTGAATGGGAAGGGGAGCTTCTTCGTATTAATAAATTCTGTGCATCACTTGGACATTTTGTGCCCCTCAAGGAAGCCTTATGGTTTTGAAGATTTTCTGCCCACAGTTAGATATGATTTGGGCATGATGGTAACTCTGAACTATATTCACAGCCTTTTCCTTCAATCTGCCAACTCTTCCTCACCAGTCTATGTAATACAGTCCAGTTTCTAGTTAGCTCTGTAAGCAATAACCCATCTTGTGTTTGGGATAGAAGTAAATAGGAATGGAGCAGGATAGAGGTACTTAGCTTTTTCAGTTGAAGGATACCCAATATACCAGAGTGTTTGTCTGCTGTTGGTAGATCAATTCCTGATTTACAGTAGTCATTCAGCCAGATACATGCGTTGCTTGATAGTGTAAATCTTTTACAAATTACAGTGCAGAGATTAGAACATACACATCTGCTGCTCTGGGAACTGCACTGGACAAGAAAGCAGTGTTGTGTGGAGTGGACAGTTTCTAATAGAAATACCTAAGTATTTGAGGGCTTCCCAAGAGGAAAGGAATATGACTGGGAATGCTACGAGTTCCTCATCTTGGCAGATGGGCAAAAGGGCTTACAGGTATTCTTTTCCCAAATTCTTTGGGAATTCCCTTGGTATACCAGGGAAACTACAACAGTTAGCCATCTCAAATCTGCTTTCTTCTCAATAGTTAAATATTACATGAAAGAGCAAAAAAGTGAAAATAGTGACCTGCTGACTTTCTCCTCCCCATTTTCCCCAATTCTGACAAGTTAAGACAAATGTGTAAATGTGTTCATCCACTTTCTCTCAACTAGCACATCATGTTAAGATAAGGTACTTGTGATCTGGAAATAAAAATTGTGAAAACTCCAGTAAAAAAATAATTGGGGAAATTAAATATTAATTATTTTTAACCTGTTGGATCAATGTGTTGTTTTTAATATGTAAAAATAATGGTATGAATCAGATTTCATGCCTGCACTTTCTAGTGCTTTTGCAAGTCTCTGCTGATCCATTCTGATATTAGAATGAAGCTGATGTAGATGGAATCTCATAAAAATCTACAGTCTAATCTTGACTTTTGCAGATTTAATTTTTGAGGGCTATTTGCGATTTTGCCATCAATAATTAAATATGATTTAAAAAAAAAGTTTTGTGGCCTACTGCCTACTTTGGCCTGGAATGGTGCACCACCCCTCAACGAGGGCAGGTGGGTGCTGAACTTGGGATCTGGCATGCAGCTGCATGCAAGTCGTGAAATGTGGTGCAGGATGAGCTCCCCTGGATCGGGTAGTGCTCCAGTTCATCAGGTTTTGTTTTAAGGGTGAGGTCTCATGAATGTGGAGGGCCGACTGTATATGGAAATCTTATATTTTAAAAATTCTATTGCTGTCTTTTCTAGTAAGTGTTGTGTTTACCTTAGACCCTCACAAACTTACCTCCTAAGCAGTGATTAGTAGAAGTAATTTGCTAGAAGCAAGCAATCTGCAAAAGGATAGCTGCACATACATGTTGACAAAATTATGCAATGGCTGTAAAATTCTGTATAGAGATGCTTGCCACAAGTTAAATTGCCCAATTAACCCACGTCTGCCATAGCATCTTCTGAATGATTGGGGAGGCATTTACTTTAGAATCACCCTTTAGTTCTTGGTTGGTTTGTACAGCGTGTTATTATGAAGAGAGAAAGTAGGATTTACTCAGAAGTGCTTGTGCATTAGGTAGCTTAATAGGTATAAAACTGCAAGTTGCTCTTGCAGGTTCATGCAGCCATTTTTCATTCTTCTTGAGATAGTATTGACTGTGAAAGGTTATGAAAGCTGCTTCTGTCCCCAGCTACATTTTACAGTGCAGTTCTTGGCAAAGTCTGTTCGGAAGCAAGTCATATAGAGTTCAGTGCTGCTTACTCCCAGGTAAGTGTGTTTAGCATTGCATCTTCCTTTACATTTAACTTTAAATTAATTTTCATTTCTTCCATACAGTGAGGCAAAATAAAATAAGGTTCTTTTCTTTTTAATGTTAGCTTCTTGCTGCAATTTTCCTCCTCAACTTGTTTTGTGAGTAGGTTGCTTTTTTTTTTACTTTATATTTAACTCAAAATGCTGCCAAGGCAGCCAGCAGTATAAAATAGAGTTTACAAACAGGCATATTAAAATAAAGAGTAACATTACACAAGAAAATCAAACAACATCAAGACAGAGTGAATATGGCCAGTTGCTTGTAGAATGAAAAACTTTAGATCGTATCTTGGCAAAAACCAGGATTTAAAGGGATCACATTACATTTGTGGAATTTGACATGTACCCCTTCACAAGGCCACAAATGCCATATCATTTTGAATCTCCATTCCGTTTCAAAAGCAATTTCCCACTTTGCATAGGGGGCAGATGTTAGAAAAAAATAATTATAAAGCTTCTATAGGCTCAGATAACTAATTACAAAGTCCTTTGAATGGTGGGCAAAAGTATTGATGGCTGCTATGTCAGTATCATATCTAATGTACACCAATACCAATTTAAAAACAATCTTTTTGTTCAGTTTATAACCATATCATCTTCATGAAATGATTGTTTGCACTGGAGCTTCCCAAACAACTGGCGACTAGGATAATAATAGTACTACTACTGTCTCCTTAATGTTTTATGTTTACTTCACATGAAATACCTGCCACACAGAAATTTCTTGATGTTATATTGATCTGCTGGATGCTCCTCATCAATTTACAATTGTGATATGGAAAAATATCACAATGTAGTTTTTTCTGTATTCACCCAGACTATCAACTGAAATGTTTTTCAGCTGCCCATGAACAGCTTGCCTTTTAAGACACTGCTATACATACACAATCCATAAGGTGCCTTATAGAGCCTTAAATGTTGCCTGCAATGTTGCCTGCCAGGACACACACAAGATACTAATAACTCTCTTTGTAGTCATTCTCTTTGTGGTCATTGATCTCCATTTAGGGCCAGTTGTACTGTATTGATTTTGCTAGGCTTTGAATATCTGTAGTCTGACTCCATTCATACCTGACAGGGTATGGCAAAAGGGAGCTGTTCATAGTTCACAAGGACCTTATCTTGCAAGAATCCATTGTCCCTTCCATTATGTTAAATATGTATGCATCTAATAGGTGGCAACAAGAAGAGGGACCCTTTTAGATGCTCCATCTGTGCTGATGATGCAGGATTATACCCCTCTTTCATCCCAAGAGAGTCCTTTCAAACCACAGTTGAAGGCTGAGTATTGTTGAGCCAGCCGAAACAGAATCTTGAGATTCAGAAATTAATGATGTTGGGCAAATCATGGATCCTGTGAGAGTTTTAGGCTCCCACTGTAGGTAATGTCCCTGCCATTTTGATGGCTTTTTAACAAATAAGGCTGTATCTAAATGCTAATAAGGAATAAATAGTTTGCATGAAATGATTTTGGTTCTGCAGCTACTACTGAAATCTCAAAGCAGTGGCGAGAGCTCATGGCACCAATTCTCT